TAAAAACTTTAACCAAAAAAATTGAAAAGCTTAGGTTATAATAAAATTAAACAGCGAAAACGTTGCGCCCGCATTATTTGGAGGGCACAAAATATGTATTTAACAGCGTGAGTTAATGTACAATATTTAAAAATATTATAAGTGTGAGGTAATATTTTAGCGCAACAACACAGTCCACCATATTTAAACCCAATTATAACTTAAGAGTATTACCCTGCATTTTTCCACAAAACAAGCGCCAAAGAGAGTAAAACTTAGTGGCCCATGAAAACATGTTATATAAAGCTTTTTTGAAGCTTTTTCTAGGTAAACCCACCATACACGCGCTTTGGTAGCAATGAGCTTTCTCCTCATTGCCGTTTGTTTGCTTTGTTCGTTGGTTAGCATGGCAGCCGCAGATTATTGAATGATTTACCAAATACCCAATTTAAAATCCCGAAAAGTTCCTTTTCCACTGAAAAAAAAATTGGTTCAAACTATAATTGCAGAAAATAAAAAATAGTCATTATATAAAAATGCAAAAAGTAGTGGTGTGAATGGAAGTTTTTACAAAAACAAAGAAGTGAAGTTTATAGTTTCCCTTATATCGATTTTTTCTAAAGCTTTAAAATCGTTTTCCCCAAATAAAATACTTACAAAGTTATATAGACGTATTTAGTCTAAAAATTAGTGTAACGGTAATAATTTGTTAAAAAATTTAAATTATTAATTTTTTTCAGCAATAGCGAACCCAAACTCTCCACTTTAGCTTACATTTATTACTTCCAAAGTGTCTCCACAATAGTTTTAATAAAAAAGTAAACAAAGGCATTAAAAATATTAAAATTTTAAAAAATATTTTTCTAAAACTATTTTAGTGTTTATTTACATTAACACAGTTTTTGACGTTTTGGCGAATTATTGTTAATTCGTATAGTTAAACAGTCAATGCAACTACTATTAGATTGTATAAAACCAGAATTAGAGAGTTAATTATAGCATCTATTTTATTGTCACTAATTTAGTTAAGGCTTCATGATTTTCCAAATCCGTCACTAACTCGTTTTTAGTGCCATTATTCACATAATTTTTTAGCTTATCGAAATTTACATTTTCCAAATTGTATATGAGACAAGCATACACATATTTGTGCACAGGTTTTTTTTTCATTTTTAATCCATGCTTCACCACTTCCCCTCTCCTTCTTTTCTATTTCATGCTTCAACATTTGACTTGAAATAAAAAAAATATAAAAATTTTTTAAACCGAAATTATACAAAAAAATGTTGTTTGTATTTAACCTTAATTAAATTTTGCTTTCGTAGTTCTTAGGTTAATAAATGAATATATTTTTATAAACGCTTTTAAGGCATGCAATTCGTTTTCATTTTTAGTTTTTTTTTTTTTTTTGTTGTTTTAAAACGAATACACAGTATATATAATATATATATTTAGCAACAATTGAATAAGATTTTCAGATCCTTGAAGATACCTTTTGCTCATATAGTAACAAAAGCAAGAATTTGTTTTTCGAGATGAAGATAAATCTGAGGATTCTTAATTGCTTTATTCTTAAAACCTTTGAGCAATATAAATTCTTCAATCAAATGCTATTAAGCAGCAACTTTTTTTTCTGTTTCTGTCCAGCTTTATCTAAAACTGCTCTTAGATATCGAGCAGTTTCGCAGTTCAAGGGACTAGATGAAAAATCAAAATTAGACATCAAGTCGCTATTAAAGCTCGCAAAAAAAGCATTGACGTCCTGAGTGACGAACATTTTACCTTAATTAAAATTTAATCTCCAACTAGTATTACTAAGAACCAGAAGGTCTATATGTGGCTTGTATATCTTAACCGAACTTAACTTTTTCAGGATACAAAGGACCTTGAAAATTGTTCGCACTCCAAACACAAATTGCTTTCTTACTTAAGGGGTTTTTTTTCAAAATTTTTTTCTCATATGTAATATGAAATAAAATAATAAATAATATGAATATGAAAAATTCTAACTTTTTTTGGTACATACACCATTAACAAAAAAATTCTGAAATTTTTTGAAAAATAAAAAAAAACTATGCTGAAAAAAGTACGTGTTTTAGTTAAAAATTTAACTTAGAACTCAGGCGAAGGAAAAAAGCTGAAAATTTTACTTTTGGCAGACATTTTTACAAAAAAAAAAATTAAAATTTCGAATAAACTTTTTTTCAAAAAGTTGTAATTGAAAAAAAATCTTTCATCTACGTCTCTGAGAATTGTATTCCAAAGATCTCTCGAGAAATACTGCCAATCTTGTTCAAAAACACAGTTTCTCCAGTTTTAAAGGCTGTATTACTCGGTATATATTTTATAAACTGCAGTTTAATATATGAATATTACAATACTCACTTTCTTTATACATTTAGCAAGTATCCACAATGGTTACCGAATCTTCAAAAATATTTGAAAACCGTTTTGTTACTTTCTGAGCAAAAGTGTGCTTTGAGTATAAAACAATACTTTCTTAATAAATAATAAATTATACACAGGCAGCAAAGAAGATAAATAACATACAAAATAAAAAAAATATAGTGTTTACAGTTTCTAACAAACTGAACTAACCAACAATTAAGCATAAAAATCAAAAAATATTGAAAAATAAGAAACCACTTATATGTTTATCTAAGCACATACTCATTTATTTAACGTGTACACATATAAATATATCATATGAAATTCTAGGCAATGTTTGCCAGCAGTATACCGGAAATAATAGAGCTCGTTGGTAGTGGCAATAAATATGGCGGTGAACTGAAAAGAGAACACGGAAAGAGGTAGTCTAAAGCAAATCAAACTGTCTACAAATAATATCAATAAATAATTTATTGCAATAAAAGTACAAATAAATATATATACTAAATATTATGATACCTTCGTACACACAACATAAATATATATAGTTACTTACTCGTATATAGTAAATTCAAATTTCCATCAAAGTAATTATACCAGACAAAAATATTTTTTGAATACCTAACTGTTACATATTACTATGGCATCCGATCTTTCATAATAACGAATATCTTTTTTTCGCTAAAATGAACTGAAATAATTATAAGTATATAGCGAAACAGGTTTTCATTTGTGTATGCGCAGTTTTAGTTATATTTTTAGTGCCAAAGCTGTAAAAGACTGCTATTACCATGACTAATTTTTTAAATTTTTTTTATAGAATGGTTTAATTGTTCTAAATAAAAATAATAAATAAATTGCCTATAATTAGGCATGATGGTGGCAAACGTTTTTCTTTTCAAATATTTGGTTCTGCATAATGGTTTTTTTGCAATACGTAGTAATATATAAAATAGTTTAGAACTGTTTAGCGCCAATTAGAGATCCAAAGTCTAGCCAGATCTTTCTATACCTTTTATTTTCAACGGAGTGTAGATTTTCCTTTAATTCTGCTTCCCCCCGGGGGGTATTGCGTCGAGTGCTTTCAGAGCTGGAGTGTTCTCATCTATTCGCACGACATGACGTTGCGGGTGTGTCTTAATTCGCTGAACTATGTCAATGTCATCGTATATTTCGTACAGCTCATCGTTCCATCGTTCGCCGTTGTCAATGCATGGAAGCTTCCTCTCGAAAACTCGTAACACCGATTCATCAAATATTGTCATCGTACATGCCTCTGCATCATATAGCAGGACGGAGACTTGTAGAATTTGGTCTTTGTTCGTCGAGAGGGCTTTACTCCTCAATTGCCTACTTAGTCTGAAGTAGCACCTACTGGTAAAAGTTATTCTGCGTTGGATTCCGAGTCCGAGTTGTTGGTGTTAATTCTGGTTTCAAAAAAAGATGAAATTCTCTACAACTTCGAAGTTATGGCTGTTAACAGCGACCTAGCCGCGAGTGCGATGACCGCTTATTTAAATAATAATTCAGCTATTTTTAGTGCACTATTTGCAACCCATTTTTTGTATACATAGAGAAAGTTTTTAATGAAAGAAAAATACGAAAAAAGCAATGTATTCAAAATTAACTCTAAAATTAATTTTTTTAATTATCTTTGTTATTTTTCTTAACTTTTCAAAACTGGTTAAAAATGAGCCGCTTTTATTTATAAAGTGAACTAGCAGTCTTTTATAGTTTTTGTAATTACAAACAATTAAAGTTGAATTAAACAAGCAAGTGTGTCTAGCTAATTATTATTTTTAATTAATTAATTAAAATTTTTAAAACATTCTTTTTTAAAATTAATTGCATGGAAGTGCATTTCCTTAATTCTACATTGAAACAAGATAAATTAGCATAGCTCTATGAACATATACAACACACATTCGCTAAATAAATTCCACTTTAATTTTATTGTTTAGGCATTTTTTTAACATTTTATTTATTTTAAGAAATTTTATTTACATAATTTGATATCATATAATTTTTTTTCCTTAAATACAATAATTAAGAAAAACGCGATATCTCTTTCCGCTTTCGTAACCCTTTGCTGATTAACACTAAGTATATAACGGTGCCTATACCTCAATAATATATATGTGAATTTATTAACTAAAGATCAAGCGTTTCTTCCTAAAATATATATACGCTTAGCAAGCAAGCAGCTCTAATGTATAAAGCCAACGCTTTAATTGTCGAAGTTTTTCTCGAGTCTGGCGTATTTTTAATTAGCCCTATTTTTGTGTAACGATTAGTCTGTTACCCTTTTGTTTCAGTTACGTCCACTATACTTTACATATATGTATGTTTTATTAACAGTTTTGCTTTGAACACATCACCAACAAATTAAAATTAATTCACAATCAATATAACTAGTTACTATGAAAAAAATATGAAATATTTGTCCAAGAAGTGAATCCCATAAAATGATGTAAGCGCCACCATAATATAAATATACATAGTTATATTGCCAGTAATTACATGTTAAATATTAATGTTTATGTAAATTTTTAGTATTCTAATTTTCTAGTTCTGTTCTAAGTATTTAAAGATGTTATTCATAGCATACAGTATTTTTCATATGGTAGTAGCGTATATTTCAAGTTACAGTATTTTTGTTGTAGTATTCTACAGTTCATACTTCAGTTTATGCGCCATTGCCTCTACCTCTCATTCATCTCAGTGGCTCCACACAGCCTTCTAGCCGCAAAATCACATTTTAAGTTTGAAAGGATAAAAATATAATCATTATATTTCGTTGCATAGTTGTATTATGTTCACAGTTATTTAGCATACAGTTATTTTCGTGTATCCTTTAATACATTCAAGCCGTTTGTTCGCTAAACTATTATCATTAAATAAGTAAGTTTAGCATTCTGTAATGAAGAACGTATTTAACCTGTTTCATAGCATCATCATATATAATTTTGAGAACCGTTATTTTGTCATTTGTTTCGTTTTTACTTCGAATTTGTTATTGGTACAGTCTGTGACTTATTCGTTCACACTGAGAGTCATCGTTATATACATTTTCATACTCTTTTACATACCTGTATGTGTAATATAGAAGATACACACTTGTTTTTTTTTTTTTTTTTTTTTTTTTTTTTTTTTTTTTTTTTTTTTTTTTTTTTTTTTTTGGTAAATTTCAATATATTTAGAATCTGTTTATAATTCACATTGTCCAAAAGTATAAGTTTTATTATGTCTTAGACTTAAATTCAATGGATTTTCATGTTCCTAATTGTGAAATTAACGTTGCAGAGTGCTTAAAGCCATATTTCTAAAGCGAATATAACAGTGTTGAATTTTTAAGCTAGATTCATTTACAACTTCTGCATTTCATGAATAAAATTTGGACATAAACTGAGTATTTGAAAGTCATAAGATTTCAAGCACAATCCTTATAAAATCTATCTATCAACTGAATGAAACAAAATTTTAAATTGAATTTTCAAAGTTTTCAACACTTCAAATCGCCTATATATATGACGCGAAAATGCTTTAGTATGTTACAAATTCAAAATTCATACTTTTTGAGGCCTTAGCATTTTATACCATAAAAAGCCTAGCTATGGGGAGAATCATGAAGGCATCGAACAAAAATACGCGCTTAGTACTATTTTCAAAAATAATTTCTTTAACAGAAAGCCTTTATCTAGAAAAATATAATATATACTATATTACCTTGGACATTCGATAAATACAATCTATACAGTAGACATACCAGTGTAGAAAGTACACTCTTCTAACGATCGTATTACCCATTCATCTTCTTCATTAAAAACCTCATTTATAATAATTATTATTATATATAAAAATAACTTTAATAACTCTAAAATTATATCTATACTATTAAAATATAATATAGCATATATCTACTATCATTTTCATTTATCATATGTGCATTTTAATAGTTTATGTGATATAAAATTATTGGTCACGCATCGAATGTTTCCGAAAAAAATATTGAAATAACAAAATTAAGCACCCAGAAAATAAAATTAACACTTTTAAAATTTCGAAAATAAAATTTTGTTTATATAGTTATGAAAACTACCTGAAAAGCAAAACCGGAAAATCTAACTGAAATAGTTGCAATATTAGATATTAGTGTTCTTGATAGCCTGATTTTAAATATGTACAAGGTGTGCTCCAAAGTAAACAGGACTTAAAATAAAACAGAACAAATGAAGCAATATATTTTATTCAAAATAGTCTCATTCTGCTTTAATACACGGTCCAAAAGAATGTCGAACGAGTGTTTTGGGAAGAAAGAAGCCGCATGGGGCTATATCAGGTGAATACGTGGAGTGGTTAATGGTTAAAATGGTTAAAATTTTTGGTCAAATAATCGGTCACAAGCGTCGATCGATGAGTTCAACTTTTGGTCGTGAGTCAATTTGTGAGGAACAAACCGTGCACACACCTTTCGTAAGCCCAAATGTGCGGACAAACTGCGATAAATCAATGTCTTCGAGAAGTTCAATTCCATTTCCATGAATTTCAATAATGACTTCGGCTGATTTTTGATGAATTCACGCATAGTTTCGACGGTGATCACGGATTTTGATTGGCCCGCATGTTGATCGTCATTTACGTCCTCCCGACCACTTTGAAAACGTTGAAACCACTCGCACACTCTACTACGGGTTAGGCAATCGTCGCCATAACCAATTTTTACCAATTTAAAAAAAAAATTTAATGATGGCTCTTTGTTCGAAGCTCATTTTCGCACAGATAACACAGACATACTAGAACTTAAAACGCAATAACTTCATTTCCAATCGATGAAAATATGGACAATCGATAAAGATATCTATATAACGCAACAGTCGACATATAGATGGCACCACCTGGGAGCCCTGTTTACTTTGGAATGGACCTTGTACATATATAGCGTGCATCATTTCAAGGTTCCCTTCTTTTTTAAAGAAAAATCACAGAAACTTCAAATTGATTAGGGAATGTTTATTATCATTCGAAACAACATTCCTTGGATGGTCCATTCTCTCAGATGGTCCATTCGTTGAGTTCAATTTTCGATGACTAGTTCGAATATTTCGACTGAAAACTATGGAATGACACGTGTAATGTTTTTCTTATGGACTTAGACTTTACATATTCCCACAAGCCGGTCAAAAACGTGAAATTATCTGCTCACGTTTGCTCGCCGTCTTGTTGAAAACCAAACTTTTCAGGTTGCTCTCTTTTACACACCCAATCGCCGGATCCTTTCGGAACTTTTTAAGAGCCCATAGAGCGAAGCGATTTTACTTAAAGTGGTCGAGCGACTTCAGTCTTTGCAAAGCCTATATTCTCCTTGCTTTCAATTTAAGATCTCCATACGTCAAAAAATAGTAGCAGCAAATGCTGTTACAAT